TTCGGCTGAGGTCTCCTCGCGTCTCCCAGCCGGACCCCGGCGTCGGAACCTGCTTTCGGGACATGAGCTGAGGCACAGCTCCGAGGCTAGCAGGTGAGTAGCCGAAGCTCAACGCCAACCTGGCCGTGGGGACCTTGGCGGACACCAGCTGGCTTCTAGGCCCCGCCCCGGATTGTCCTGCTCCTGGCCCGGAAATAACAATCCCATAAGTGACCTTAGCAGCCAGGAATCTGGAAACCCTGGTTCCTGGCCTGACCCGGCTGTAGTGTTTAGGGATAAGCGACCCCAGTCCCCTCCTGGCTTCTAGAGATGACACAACTCAGCTCCGAGGGATAGCTGGAGAGGCATTTTATGAACTGTTACTCTAAGGAGTTGTCTCCATTGCAAACCCCAAAAGATTTGGTAGTTGCATACTACCTTATTAGACTTTCAAAAATTCATTTGCTGAGCTGTCATATATATATTCTTATTTAAAATAGCCATGTGATATAGGAATAATTGTTGTTCGTCTTTGGAAAGAAGGTAATTGACTTTGTTTCATTCATTCGCTAAGAAAATAGTACCAACTCTGAGCCAGGCATCGCACTACATGCTGGGCGTAGAACTATGCTCAAGGCAGGCAAGGCCCTGCGCTGAAGGAGCTTTTATTGTTTTAGAAACATAGGCAAAAAAATAAACAACACATTGCATTCACATTATATGGGAAGGAAGGAAAGTGGCAGAGACAGAGGATGTGAGGAAGATAGGTAAGGGAGGTACTGAACTAAAGGCACAGTAATTGGAAAAGTCAATTTTGAATACAGATCTCTAGTCCCCTGTCTTGTATTCTTCCAGTTGAAACATGGCATCTTTGGCAGTTTTTAAGTATCTCTTGTTGTTACTGTTGCTTTTAGACCTAAGAACATCAGAAGTTCTAGCACTCAAAATCTAACTCCACTCAGTCTAAAGCAGTGCAACCCCAAGTCTCTTGATCCTTCTCATTGTTTTTTACAGTATCTGCCATTAATTACTTCAATCTTTTGCTTTTTTAAAAAATTTAATTCTGCTCTCCTTTCAAATATAAGCATTCTTTGGATAGGGACTATTCCCCTCAGCACTGAGCTCTGAGGCACTTCTAGATATAGAAGGCACATGGACTTTTTTTATTGTTGTTGTTTTTTCTAGCAGGGAGGTCTGGAGTCTGGCATGGCCTGCTATTTTTCTTGTCCCTTTATTTTTCCTTTATTATAGTATAGATTTATTAAAATTTCATTTTTCATCTATCAGCTCATTTCTTCGTAGCAACCTTAATTAGTAAGCAAAGCAAGGTTTCTCTTTACGAATTTTTTAGATTTATTTACTCTGTGTGCATGAGTCTTTTGCCTGCATCAGTATATGTGCACTGCATGTATGCAGTCACTGCAAAAGTCAGAAGAGGGCATCTCCTGAAGTTAGAGATGGCTGTGAGCCACCAAGTGGGTGCTGGAAACTGAACCCCTCAGTCTTCTGCAAGAGCAAAATGTGTACTTAACTGCTGAGCCATCTCTCCAGCCCTTCAAAGTTTATATTAAAACATGAAGAAACTAGACTGACAAGATGGCTTAGTTGGTAAATGTGCTTTCCATACAAGCCTGACAATCTGAGTTCAATCCCTAGAGCCCAAGGAAAAGTGGAAGGAGAGAACCAACTCTTGAAAGTTATCTTCTGAGCTCTACCTGTTTTAAATGATATGCACAACACCCCCCCATGAAAATAAAGTAAATAAATAAGAACAGAAAACCTGAGGCACCTAGAAAAATAGTTTCAGTGGAAATGGAACAATGTAAGACCAGTGTGGTGTCTGTGCTCACATTTGTTATGCCACCTCCTCCCTTTGCTGAATTGTTCCAAGAACAAAAGCTGTTCTTCCCTCCCCATTGCCTTCAACACCATCAAGACTGTCTTCTTGGTGCTTTCTTGCCCCCCCCTCCCAATATCCTGTGATGATAGAGTATTTGGCTTCCTGCCTCAGGAAGACTCAAGACTCTCCACACAACCACAAAGGACTCTCTTTATCCTAAATGGCAGTTCTGGTTGCTAGAAGGATTGTCCCCAGGGAACTAGTCTGAGGCCCCAGTTAGAAACAGCCGGCCTCTGAAGGATTGCCCAGAGAGTGTGCCTTCCTTGGATGAATTGCATGTGAAGCCTTGTGTTCACTCCCCTGCCTACATGCTCACACTGCCTTTAGTATTCCTTAGAGATTGATGGAAGCAGAAACCAAAACTCTTCCCCTGGAGAACGCATGACTATGGATTGGCAACCTGGACCCCAAAATCACAGAGTAAGTCCTGATCACTTAGTTAATTGTGTGCAGAGGTGCAGTGTCTGCTGCAGATGCTCGGGGACTGCAGAGCAGCGCTGTGCATCCTGATCCCTTCATTTGGTTTGAATTTTCCTTTGATGCTGCTTTAGCGTATTCCCATTTTTCATACATTTGCACTCCACAACTGTAAGGACATAACTTTGGATTTCCTTCAAGCATAGGCTTCGTCCTTCTCCTCAGCAAAAAGTAGAACTCTTTGCCAACTGTTTGACTCTGTACCCAGTGGTTATGAGGAATTTTTCTAGAGCCAACCTGAGGCACATTTTTGTCTCTCGGAATGGAGGAACAAGAAACAGTCTTGGGATCTTTGCAAATAGACATTTGGGCCCCATTTGACTGACTGCTTTTAAGCAGCCACAGAACCATAGAAAGTGAGTGTGGGTAGGGATTTTAGAGATCACCCTAGTCCCTTTGGCATTCACTCATTCATTAAATGAGCAGAGTGCCTGCTGTGTCCCCAGCACCATGCTGAGCAGCTTAAACAAGAGAAGCCTTGTGATAAACTAAATCTGAAAGAAACCACTTGTAAAACAAGACTTAAGAGCTGCTTGGGCCAAGGAAGGAAAAGAGGTGCTGAAGTGTCAGCTGCCACTCTTTTGTCAATCTTGAAGCAAGCTCCATGGATTGAGATCACTTGGGAACCCCTGATACCATCCAACTCTCTTTCCTTACAAAAAAGGAAATGAGGGTCTAAGAGGCAGAATTACATTGCCCAAGATCACAATACTAATTGAATATAATAGTCCTGACTCCCACTCTTCCATCAGAGCCATTATAGTGAAAAGGAATATCCTGGCAGAGAATTAATAGGTTTTTCTTTCCACTACTTGATTTGAGGGAGGAAGGTGTTGGTTGGTGGCAGAATAGCAAAGGATAAGTAGACTGACCTACAAGGCATCAGTACTTAGAGTGAGTATGGAACAAATCAGCAGTCCTATAATTACTCCTCCTCAGTGGGGCTAAATTGAGAATAAGAGAGGGAACCTACTGGAGTCTGGGATGAGATGAAGTGTATTTAAGGATGGGATCTCTTTTAGATGTGATTTTTACATCACAACACCAAGTTTAGCTCCTAAACCTGCAAAAGTTCAAATCAGACACTGCAGATATCATTGGGTGCCCACTTAAATTACAGAGCTATTAAAGATATGTTGTCTTCATGTCATGGGAATGCTGGAATGTGGTTGTATTTAATATCTGCTCTTACGACTTTGAAGATGGATGTGTGAATCAGCATAAGCTCTTAATTGATATCTGTTCATCTAACTTTTCCATCATTTAGAACCCAGGCTCTAAGGGGGGGGGGCTCCCCAGAGTGGTTTCCATTCCCACCTCTCCTTGTCTGAATGGAAATCTATGAAAACAATGTTGGTTGTGTTGGCTATAGTTCCAGGTAATGAGACTCTTGTGCTAATTGTGTCCTGCTGCCCATCAGAGGGTTCACAAGGGCACCTGCCTCTGGGTTTATGGCGTAGGAAGTATGTGAATGTGTTCCTAAGTAACATCTTTAATAGGAACATTCGATTAAGACTTTACCATTGATGTTTCAGTCAAAAGTGAACATTAAATGCCAAGTGTAGGTCAGGGCCTTGCTGGCTAGAAATACTGTGTTCCACGTGTAGCAGTCCATTTCTGTATTGCCAAAACCATTTTCTCTGTTTTCCTTCTATGACTTCCTTACCTTGAAATGATTTGTCTTAAACTAATTTGTTACAAAATCTATTTTCAAAAACAGTTGTCAATCAGTGCTTGGGGTAGATACGGTGAACCTACGTGAATAATTAAAATGTAATCACTCACAAATATTGCTGTATTTTATGGTAGAGCTTTTGTGAACTTAGAGTGGTTGTCTTGTCGAAACCTAATTGTTCTAGGACTGAACTGCATGCCAGAAGCATTCATGTAATTAAGTAGATCTTGGAGTCTTGAGGGAGTGATGGGCACTTGTTCTTACAGAGATGGTCAAGCCTAAATACATGTACTTCCACTGTGTTCTAATTCCTCAGCTTCATTGTACCTCATGTTTCTGTAAAGTGAGAATGTTCAACTAAATAACAGAAAAGTTTCTTTCTGGCCTCTGGGGCACAGGCCATAGGTTTGAGCTGTGTCACAAAACAAAACTAGCACACACCCCAGAATCATCTTTACTCTCCACTTTTCTCACACACACTTTACTCACACACTAATACTGTGTGAAATTCTATTTCACCTCATTACAGCTTAGGTGAGGGGAAAAGATTCACACTTTATAAGAAGAGGAAAGTTACATGGGTTGGCTCAATGACAAAGGAGTTTATGATAGCTCTAGTTTCCTCCTCCTTAATTCCGTGCACTTTTGCTCAGATATTCTGATAGTTGGAATAACTGAATAATCCTGACCTGAAGCATCCTGTTTTGAATTCAGATATGTGGAAACTTACAAGTTTCTGTGAGACCCAGGCTATAAGATTAGAAATTATCTCTAAATATCACCAGTATTTTCAGCCAAAGAGTTAGTGTCCTCACATGTTGATTTGACATGCTGTACCTAAATACTGACTTTCTTTTTTTATTAGAAACAAGCTTCTTTTACATGTCAATCCCAGTTCCCTGTCTCTCCCCTCCTATCCCTATCTCCCCACCCCCATCTCAACCCCTTAGTACTGACTTTCTATTTTTTTTTTTTATGGTTTTTTTCAAGACAGTATTTCTGTATTGTTTTGGAGACTGTCCTGAAACTCACTTGGTAGACCAGGCTAGCCTCGAACTCACAGAGATCCGCCTGCCTCTGCCTCCCCATTGCTGGAATTAAAGGTGTGTGCCACCAATGCCCGGCAGTACTGACTTTCTTATTCAGACATTGAATGTGTTCTGTAAAATAAGTAAGTAACCTTTGCGTTATATGAAGTTGTGAGAGAGAACATCAGTGGAAATTTTAATAGTGCCTTCCAAGCAGAGAGGAAATCATGAATAAAAGTGTGTAAGTCCCCGTAAGAAAGATGGCTCCATGTAAGCCGAAAGGACCTGTTGACTTAAGGCAAGGATAAGTACTAATTGGAATAAAGAAGGCAGTTGGATAGGTAGAATACTGTCAGGTAATGATGGATACTTTACATTGTATTCAGACAATTTAAATTTCCTTTAGAAGAAAGTCACTGTGGATGTTAACAAGAACCTGATACCAAGACAGGAATTGGGGTGGGGGTGGGGGGTGGACTACAGGTTCTAGGAGATACTCAACTGTTACTGCTGTCATATGGATGGGGACAGTGAACTTGGCAATTCTGGGTAAGACTGAGATGCAAAAACCAGGAATTGAAGAAAAGTGGAGAGTAAAGATGATTTTGGGGTGTGTGCTAGTTTTGTTTTGTGACACGGCTCAAACCTATGGCCTGTGCCCCAGAGGTCTTGCCTGAGGAAAGTAAACAACTCAAGTCACCACTGACCATGGGGTAGTTTGTGGTGAAGAAGTTTGCCATACATTGATTAAACGTAAAAGCCAAGAGGTGGAGAGCCAGCCAAATGCAAGTGTCCTTCAAGTGCTGGCTTTCTACTGACTGAATAAATCAGAACTCTCTGGGAGCAGATGCATGAGCCTGTGACAGCAGGGTTCTATCTTGTCTCTCTCAACCTACTTCATACTCTTCCTTCATGGACTATGGCTTGAATGAAACAGTGCATATTATTTGCTTACTTAACTCTGAAACAATAAAACATTAAGTAAGGTGTATGGCACAGGACAAAAAGACTTTTCAGAGTAATTTCAAAAGAAAACCCTAAAGGTCATTTCATTGGCTCTCTGCTTCCTGTAACATCAAATCAAAATTCCCTGACTACTATTACCCACTCTCCTCCAGTTCCCATCTATTCTCTTCCAGTAAGTCAAACTTCACCTTTCTCATTGCATGGGGTTCACTCACACTGATGCTGCATTCAGATATCCCCCTTTCTCAAGCTTTCCGTGTGTGTGTGTGTGTGTGTGTGTGTGTGTGTGTGTGTGTGTGTGTGTGTGTGTGTACACATGCACATTTGTGATCTATATGCAAATGTACAACTGCTCACAATTGTGTATTCGTTGCTGTCCTCTAACCAGCATTGAGGGCCTGGAAGACACTTTTATTCACCTACAGGTCCTGATGCCTAATTAGTCCTCAACACATAGTAGGTATTTGTTTTGGTATTTGTACAGGTGATTGCTTCTGTGCCACCAGGCAGGAAGGTTATTTTAATGACTCACTAGGAGAAGAAAGCACTGATTGGGTTACAGAAGTGTGTAGGGGACAGGTGGGTATACTGTTTCTCTCTCCTGAAAGCAGCAGGGTGCATGTTTCATTAAGGAAAGCCAGCCACTGATTGAGGGCTGAGCTCCCATAGCCCAGCAGCAGATAAAAGTACTTGCAGATGTGAAAGCAAGAGGCTTCGGGCTTTTTTTTCACTATCAGAGCCTGCAGTCCTCATCTCCAGGAAGCAAAGTAGTAAACATTTCATTCCTTTTGTTTCAATGTTCCGATAATTTCAAGAAATTATCAAACAAGAAAAGAAATCCTAGAGAAGTTGAAAGACACAGACCTAAGCAGATGTTCCTGGAATCTTAAGGTCACACTTCTCAGGCAGCGTGTGTTTGTTAGTTTTACAATGAATAATCTCTTGGCATTTTTTTCCTGAGTAAATTAAAATTCATTTCCTAGGAAATGCCAGTCGAGTTACCTTCCTGCTATTTAGCAGAACGGAGCTAATGAAAAGATAGCTATGCCATAGTAGCCTTAAGTTTTGTTTTGTTTTAAATGGGTTTGACCCACCATTCTATGGCATTGACATGATGTGAAGGTTTGAATGGGTATAGTAAGAGCAGGTGTGGCTCTGATTAAAGCCTGTGGGGGAGACTCAGCCTTGCTGTATTGCCTGTCCAGATAATCAAGAACAGAGGTTTATACTAAAGGTGTCTCTCAATTCCCCCCAGGAGTCCTGCATTCTCACTGGGTGATTGGGTCTCCTGATGGGAGATAGTAATTAAGCACAGGGTTGTGGTTGCTTTCCTTTTCAAAACCAGTCCAAGGACCAGATTACTCTCCTCAGTGGGGCTTGGGAGCCTTTCATGGTATCCCAATACTAGACCTGTCTTGTATCTTTCTACAGTGGTATCAGACACCTGACTAACTATAATGGACTTGCTTATTGATGCACATTAGTGCCAGATTTAGTGCAGCGTGTGATGTATTTCCTGTCTCTGCTTCCCAAAGGAGATCTTGCTCAAGAATAAAATCTTGGTTTCTCCTAGCAGACAGCATGAATATAAATGTGCCCACAAGGACTTAACTGACTCCCTGTGGGGCAGAATTCCGAGTAGTAACAGATTTAGCATGTGGGCTGATACCTTTTTAGTATCAAGGGGACAGCATTGTTTAGAGAAAGCCTTGATTCCATTTGAATAGCTTAGAGGGTGCCAGGAGGAAGGCCAGAGGAAAAGGAAATGGGAGAGCTGTTGGTTTGTCTCACCCTTACATCGTAAGACAGGAAGTCAGAATGTAGGTCGGCCACAGCAACCTGCTAAGGTCACTTCTGTTTGAACAACTCAAAAGTCTTATAGAAACCAAATGAGTTCTAAGAGTGGGGAGTACAAGAAAAGGGTAAGCAGGATGGCAAGTGATAGTTTGGTGAACCTCTGCTGCAATAAATTCCTTCCTTGACTCTGTTTTTTATTTGCCTATACCCCACAGTGAGTGAGTGAGTGAGTGAGTGAGTGTGTGTGTGTGTGTGTGTGTGTGTGTGTTTCTTGTGAAATTAGAGATACTCTATTTATTTCATTGTCAAGAAATTTAAAGAATAAATAAATAAACACTATTTTTGAGCTTTTCTGGAAAAGAAAAACAAACGGTGCTTGTGGGCAGACAGCTGTTTGTTAGGTATGTTTTGGGGTTTTTTGGGGGGGGGTATTTTGTGCCTTTGGGACAGGCACATAGGCATGACATTTCTAGTTCCCATTCCAAGTGGAGGCGAACAATCCTGTTTCCCAAATAAAATAATACAGCAGTTTGCAAGAAAGCATAGGGCAGTGGCCAGAGAATTTTTTTTGCCTAAGGTGCATTATCTCCCTCTTTTATCTTACATTTGAAGCTGAACAGCCAACAGCATCCCTGGAGTGGCCTCATGGGCTCTTCTGTCTCCACAGATACCACCTCCTCAAGCTCCTCCAGAAGTTTGGCAAGGTGAAGCAATTTGACTTCCTGTTCCACAAGTCGGGTGCTTTGGAAGGCCAGCCCCGAGGGTACTGTTTTGTTAACTTTGAAACTAAGCAGGTAATTGAGCTCCCTCGCCCTCTACTAGTCTGCACTCTGTCAATCATTTTTATATCTCTTGACCACCAGACTTCATGTACAGGAGTCATGTCTGGTTATTCTCTATGTGCCTCACACTGAGGACTAACAGGTAAAATACTTCCACTAGTGAATTCAAGTAATGCAGCTTGCACAAGCTTCCTCTCCCTGGGCTCAAGCTGTAAGGTGACTGGTTCCTACTGACTACATGATTTGGGATGCCATTGTTGAGCATGTGACAGCTGCCCTTCCTATCTTGTTTTGTTTGATGCTGAGTTCTAACCCCAGCACCCACATAAAGGTCAGGCATAGTGACACACATCTGTAATCTCAATGCTTCAGGATTGGGGACAGAGAGTGGAATAAGCAAATCCCCTGAGCTAAGTCGCCAGCCAGTCTAACCAGTCATGAGTAACAGGTTAGTTGAGGCTACAAAAAAAGGAAATGAGCAGTGGAAGAATGCCCTCAACATAGGTCAGGCGTTGGTGGTGCACGCCTTTAATCCCAGCACTCGGGAAGCAGAGGCAGGGGGATCTCTGTGAGTTCGAGGCCAACCTGGTCTCCAGAGCGAGTGCCAGGATAGGCTCCAAAGCTACACAGAGAAACCCTGTCTCGAAAAAAGAAACAAAAAAAAAGAATGCCTTCAACATTGACCTGAACCCTATATGTACACATGCACGGGCCCGTACACACCACTTGAATTACACAAATGCATACATTTTATTTATGCACACACGCACACAAATAAAACACATATATATCTTTCTCAGTGTCTCAACAATAAATGCATGCAAATTTTATTTATTTTTGTGGTGTTGGGATTAAACCCAGGGCCAGTCTGTCTGTCTGTTTGTTTGTTCTTTTGAGGCAACCTCACTATGTAGCCCTGGCTGTCTGGAACTCACAGAGTGCCTGCCTCTTCCTCTTCAGTACTAGAATTAAGGCTGTGCTCCATCATGCCTGGCTGAACCCAGGGTCTTGTACATGCTAGCTAGCTACGTAGATAGTACCCCTGAGCTAACCCTGCCAGCAGCACGTGTTGATCTGCAGTGATCTGTATCTGAAATTTTACTTTTTTGTTGTTTGTTTTTGAGACAGGGTTTCTCTATATAGCTCTAGCTGTCATAGAACTCACTATATAGACCAGGCTGACCTTGAACTTCCAAAGATCTGCCAGCCTCTGTCTCCTGAGTGCTAGGATCAAAGGCAAGCGCCACCACAGCCTACTATGAAATGTGTACATTTTACATGTGACTTAGAGTGCAATTAAAAAGTAATCATCAGATTACTGGGTGTGATGGTACACACCTGTAAGGCAGGTAAGTACCTCTGAATTAAAGCCATCCTGGTCTATATAGTAAGTTTCAGTCCAGCTATGGCTACATAGTGAGACTCTGTCTCAAAAAAAAAAAAAAAAAAAAAAAAAAACTCATAATTTCTGGTGACTATATAGTATTATATGGATTTGTGTTACATGTTCCCCAGTTGTTAGTTATATGAGTCACCACCAGTGACTGACTAAATATTATGGAGTGGGTCTCATTATGGCTGTAACTATGTACATTCACTGCTTTTAGGGAAATGCAATGAATGCAGTCATCAAAAGGCATAATTTTTAGTCAGATGTAGTGGTACATGCTTTTAATCCTAGCACTTGGAAGCAGACAGAGGCAGGTAGATCTCTAATTTTGGGGTCAGCCTGGTCTACAGAGTGAGTTCCAGGACAACTAAGGCTACATAGAGAAATTCTGTCAAAAAAAATGGCATAATTTTTCTTAATATAGTTGGCACAGCTGGGAATGGTTGTACATGCCTATAATTCTAGCTCTCAGGAGACTGAAGAGAGAAGATTAAGAGTTGGAGGGCAGCCTTGACTACATAGTAAGAAAAAAAAAAAAATACAGTTACCCGGATGCCTACCAGAGTGATGTGTGGTAATGCTAAAACTGCACAAGAGCATCATCTGTCCTTACCAGTGCTGAGTCTTTTTTATTTCCTCTAATTTTAGAGATATCATAGGCAACAAATGATATGTTTTTTTAATTATCCACTCCTTTTTTGGAAGCAATTAAAGAATGTTCACTCTGTATGCTGTAGTAGAGCATTGCTATGGCCGGTGAATAGCCAGTGCCTCATACACGGTGGGATATTATACTGCTGGGTGCTAGAGACTCACTGGTGATGCCAGCTTGGCATGCTTATGTGTATTACTCCTCAGCCTCAGATGCACGCTGCCAATAAGGTCTTCCTTAAGGGCCTCTTCTCCCCTTCTAGAGGTGGGTTGAGTGCCTCATGGATACCCAAGGGGCAAAGAGAGTTCATGAGGATGGGGAAGCATGGCCAGGTTTTCCGGGAGTAACCTAGAGTGACTTTATGCTATGTCTGATAGGGAAGGGGAAGAAGAGTTTGTGCTCTGGAACTGGGTGTAAGATTGTCTCACACGGGGACTAGCTCCTGCTTTTTCCAGACTGATTTCTTCCACAGCCTTGTCTATAAGGCCATAGTCCAGGGTGTGGCTCCAGAGCTGCTGAAGAGAGCACAGTTCCTTGTAGTCTGTGTGCTGCCAGCTAGAGCAAGTGTGTAAAAAGGTAGACCTGATGGGGCAGTGCTGCCAGCTAACACTCAGAAGCACCTCCTGTGTGTGCCACACACTCACGCCCTCTACACACTCATACCACCCCTGGGAACAAGCTCACAAATGCCAACAAGTGACAGAGGATTTGAAACTTTGTTTCAATTTTAAAAATTCAGATGCTGTTGTTTTGCCATTCGAAATTATAAGCCATTAGCCAAGTTACCAAAAGCAATTTGGTTAGAAACCCAGCCACTGCAACTTATTAAGTCCCTCTGAGAATACAGATAACTAATAAGCATTTGAATTTCTGACTAACTGTTGTCCCTCTCTTGAACAGGAAGCAGAACAAGCCATTCAGTGTCTCAATGGCAAGCTGGCACTGTCTAAGAAGTTGGTGGTACGATGGGCCCACGCTCAAGTCAAGGTAAGTCTAGGGGAGACAGACAGCACCCTGCCTCATCCTAACCAAGTCCCTGAAGAAGAGCTCCCACCTCTCCATTTGTATCCCGGCCTCTTCATCTGGAGCAGCATGCTTTGCTCTCCTGCTGCTCTGTCGTGTCCAGCTTTTCTTGTGAAAAGCTTCTCAGGATGGGAGCAGGATTCTTTATTGTGGCACGTGGCCACAGATCCTGTTTTTTGATTGATTTTTGCATGTGGCTGATATGTATACTCAAACCTCTGTCTTTTTCTTTTTTAATGGGAGTTATTCTTTGGAGGGAAAAAGTTATTTACTTTTTTAAATTAGTTGCTGTGGACATTTATAGACTATTGCCAGCCTCATATCTCTAAGGAGAGTTTGAATGTATTTATTGTTCTAAATGCTTGAAAAATGGGTAGTTTCTCTGTGTGCTTAAAGCATGGCAGTCTCCTTCCTCCAGAGGTCTGGAGAGTTACTGTAGTGTGGGGTTGTGGGTTTGTATGTTTCCAGGCCCTGAGAAATGGCACACTGCCCTGCCCATCTTACAGTTCATCTCTTGGGGGAAAGTACTAGAAAAGCTGTGGCCATTTTTTTTTTTCTCTAAAAAGGTATTCTGTTCCAGCTGACAGAGAGGTGGTGAACAATGTAGACTAGAACAGTCCCAAGAGACAGCTCCCAGTACAGTGGGTCTGGGCAGTCCTGCCAGCAGATTCTCAATGTCAGAGCTGGAGCCTCTGCTCTTAGCTACATGAACATAGGTTCAGAGGCACACTGCCCACTTCCCAGTACTATTCCCATAAGGACTCAGAGTAAACTGACATTCAAATGGAGTAGTAGTGAATGCTGTCACTACTACTCTTCTCCATTCAGATCTATTAAGAGTTGAATATTATGCTTGATACTTTGCAAAATCTACCAGAATTTTAAAGTGTTTTTTTTTAAATTTTTAAACTTTATTTTATGTGTATTGGTGTGAAGGTATCAGATCCCCTGGAACTGAAGTTATAGACAGTTGTGAGCTGCCATGTGGGTGGTTGGAATTGAACCTGGGTCCTCTGGAAGAGCAGCCAGTGCTCTTAACCACTGAGCCATCTCTCTAGACCCTTAAAGTGTTTTGAATAAAACAAATAGTCTAAGAGGCAATATATAGCAGTTTAATAATGTAAGAGGGTAGCCCTGCTGTGCATTTGTACCATCTGTGAGATTCTTCCTCTCCCAGTAAAGACTGATGGCTAGACTTCTTTTTCTAAACTGACTACTTTTAGGCCAAAACTATGAGGATTTTTGCATTAATATTAAATATAAAACAGGCCTAAGATTGTCTGAAAATACACTGAAATAAACTAGGCAGGGCTGGCATGTTTTAACATGCACTACAGTCAGAAATGCATCCTGCCCAGGTGAAATAATTTACTCTTCTTCTCACTTTCAGAGATATGATCATAACAAGAATGATAAGATCCTCCCCATAAGCCTTGAGCCATCCTCAAGCACGGAACCTACTCAGTCTAACCTCAGGTAAGGTGGCATCTGTAGGACTGTCATTCAACAGGCCAGCCATTTCTTTCTCCATGCCTTCATAGGCAGCATGGTGACTCTTACTCTAGAATACAATGTGCCATGCCTTGAGCATGGCTCTGGGGAGACAACTGCATCAGTCATAGCCCTTACCCTGAAAACATGAATTCTTAAGACATCAGTCTCTGGTGTTCTCATCATATACTAATTCCTCCCTGGCTATGTCTTCCCTTATGTTTGCAGACATTTAATTATGTGTACCCTTGCAGCAACTATAATAGTTTGTTCCATTTTGTATGAATCGTCAGTTGCTTCTTTGGAGTTAATTCAAAACAGGGGCATAAGACTTGAGTAGAAAAAGGGAAGTTAAGTGGGCGGTTCAGCAGCAGTTTTGTGTGTATGTGGTGTTGGGGATTTTGTTGTTTTTTTTTTTTTTTTTTTTTTTTTTTTTTTTTTTTTTTGCACTATAGCTTAGGGGAAATTTTTAACAATAACAGTATCCAAGATTTGTTGAACTTTATATAAGCAAGAACTTATAAGTACTTTATTATGTCTTTTACCAGCATATATCCTTTAGTAACATAAAAAGCACTTTACATATGGGAAACCTGAAGCTGAGAAAACCATGCTGGTAGTAACAGAATCAAAACTAAAAAACAGGCCTAATAGACTATTTTTTTCCCCATATTTTATTTTTGTTTTTATTTAAATTAGAAACAAGCTTCTTTTACATGTCATTCTCAGTTCCCTCTCCCTCTCCTCCTCTCCTGCCCCCCACCCATCCCCCATCCTAACTGCTTTCTGCTCCCCAGGGAGGGTGAGGCCTTCCATGAGGTATCTTCAAAATCTGTCATATCATTTGGAGCAGGGTCTAGACCCTCCCCTGTGTCTAGGCTGCAAGAGTATCCCTCTATGAGGAGAGGGCTCCCAAAGTCCATTTGTGTACTGGGGGTAAATACTGATCCACTACCAGTGGCCCCATAGATTGTCCAGACCTCCAAACTGAATTCCTCCTTCAGGAGGTCTGGAACAGTGCTGGTTTCCCACCTATCAGTCTGGGGTCCATGAACAACCCCTTGTTCAGGTCAGCTGTTTCTATGGATTTCTTCAGCCTGGTCTTGACCCCTTTGCTCATCACTCCTTCCTCTCTGCAACTGGATTCCAGGAGTTCAGTTCAGTGTTTAGCTGTGGGTGTCTGCGTCTAACAGACCATCTTTGTACTTACTATTTCAAAATGGTGCCAGGTTAAAACAGTAAAGATATATATTAAAGCCTGCTCAGGAAAGAGGAAAAAAGTTTTCAAAGCAACACCTATGATTCAGAAATCAACAGTTACACTCAGTCAATTGTTAGATTATAAAATCTTCCCGGGCGTTGGTGGCGCACTTTAATCCCAGCACTCGGGAGGCAGAGGCAGGGAGAACT